GGATGGAATTCAAGAGGACGTCCTGAAAGTGAGTGTCACAGATTTATACCACCGGCGCTTGCAGGGCTTGCTCGGGGCGAGAAAGACCACTGCGGACGTTATAGACTTGGAACTGGAAGACGTGGTTCGGTTTTGGTTCGGCTCGGCTTTAACGTTCTACGCGGGACCGAGAACGTCCGGCCCGGAGTGGCCAAGAGTCCAGGAGCTGTGAATGTAGGCATCGCTACAGAGGCGAGACTGACCCTGGTCAGTTCGTCTCCCGCAGAGCAGGTGTGGACTGTGGGCCATTTAAAAACGCCGAATCTCGGCCGCATTCACGCTGCGCTCTCCGCCAAGTTCTCCCATGAGCGAATGAAAGAAGAAAGCTTTTTGCAGCCTCTCCACACCTAAATGTGTTTTTTTTTCCCGTCTGACTCGAGTCGTTGTTTCTAGCTGTATCGTCTGTGAATGCATCTCACTTATCATCCTTGCAAAACGTAAAAAAACCCGATAATTTTAGCAATCTGGGAAAAGTATTTGCACACCTTGATTAAAACATTCCTTTAACCGCCTGTTATCACGATATTCAACACGAATGCAGAACTTCTAACTTCTCGTAATTATCGTTTTATTGAGAAACTCTTTAGTAACAAAAACAGAACTTCGGCCTCTGAAGGGTTAAACCCGGACACCAGAAATAAGGAAGATGGCGTTGGGGGGGGGCAGGGACTTTCCGTTACCTGTTGCAGCTCTCTCCTGTTCGTGGGGAGGACTCCCCGCGGGTCAAGAGACCGGCCGGCCTGCGCGGACACGCCGCGGCGGAATGCGGCGCCTCGGGACGCATTCCTGCCGGGTGGCGTCGAGCTCGTGACGCGAGAGGAATTTCGCCTGGCGGAACATCAGGTGCCGTGCGCGAGAGGTAGAGGGTTCCCCCGCCCCCCGTGTTCACTTCCTGCAGCTGCGAACTGTTGTGTGTGTGTGTGTCTCTCTCCCCCCCGCCCCGCGTTCACCGTGCCTTCACAGCGCTCTGCTATTCATGTGGCGTTGTGAGCGCGCCCAGCCCCCCCTCTGCTACACACCCGTTCATGTCTGGGGGCAATAAGCCCGCAGCTCTGCTGCCCTGCTGCCCCTGGGACTGGCACCACCGCCTCCTACCTTCTACCGACGCATACTCGCACGATGGAACAAGTACAGGTTTGAAGTCATGCTTTAAAGGAGAAGAAGCTCAACGTTTCAGCCGTGGAGCCTTCTTCAGGTGTGAACCCTTTGCCATTGCAGCCTGATGCAGCTCCCTGCTTGAGCATATTTACATATTGATGATGTGTGTGTGTGTGTGATGACCTGTCGACATCGTGTGGTGTTGTCGTCTGTACTGTGTGTGTGTGTGACCGCTGACCAGTCAGGCAGCTCACTGGACGCCCACAGCCTCGCTGCACTGGGAGCGAGAGAGACAGCACTGGCTGTCCTGGGTGGCACCACCGAGCTCAGGGGCTCCAACGGGGCCCGTCTTCGTTGTGCCCCAGGTTGGCACACATGCCAGCGACAGAATTCCCAGAGGGGGTGGTT